TAAAATAGGGAAGGGTGTTCCACAGGCAAGAGATGCGAAATATGAAGCTATTGGAGTAGAAGAGGCAGCTACATTTAGGAGTTTCGACAGTGAAGGGGTGAGAGCAGGATGCCAGCCTCGTAGAAGGCTTGAACTCATGAAGTCTGGGAACCACCGAATGCAGCTCCACGGATGAATTGCCATGAAAGTATTTGTAAAAAAGACAGAGAGAGGCGACGGCGCGTCTGTGAGAAAGTGACTGTAGACGAGATGTCAGATCAGGGCCAATTATATTGCATATCCGCCTCTGGAGCTTATCAAGAACCCCGAGGCAAACAGAAGGGGCTCCAGATTCGACAAATTACATTTGAGTTTTAGGAATTAAAGTCAAACAAAAAGAAATTAATTACTTCCTCATATATATATATATATATATATATATATATATATATGAAGAAATATAGTTTTAAGGTGTGCTATATTTATGGGATAAAGTGCTCAATATCAGAGATAGAGCGTATGTAAATAAAGATACAAAAGTGAACATTGAAGTCAACACTCAGAGGCGACAGGCCGTTTCATGCTAGGCGCAATGTATGTATGTATATATATATATATATATCTGTGTGTGTCTGTGTGTGCGCGTGTATGTGTGTGCGTATGGATACCCATGCTTTTTATATAAGTATTAATTTTAAATTCTTATTTGTTCATTTTTCTTCCGAGAACAGGTGTGATTAGGTGACATTTATGAAAGAGTCCATTTTCAGCCGTCGTGTTTATCTGTAGCCGACACCCCTCCACAACCACTATCTCTATAATCCCCTCCACAATTATAGGATATTTGTTACTCCCCCTACTTCTGTCCTTTCCTTTTTCTTTTGTTCCTTATTTCAAGAAACGTTTTATACATTTTTGTAAATGTATTTGCATTGATAAATCCAGGCAAAAACTACTTTCCTATAGAACAAATGTATGAGGTAAATTGTTTCGATCTCATTAATTGTAATTCATATATATATATATATATATATATATATATATATATATATATATATATATATTATTTATTTAAAATATGATTCCAACAACTCTTATGTGGCGTTGGAATCATATTTTTAAATAAATAATTATATTTATGCTCTATTTTTTATCGAGCACTATTTTTTTTAAAATAATAACAAAAATACTTTGGATTATTTTTGTCGGAGGACATACGTTTTCTATGAAATTTCTCTGCCATTTAGGACGGGGAAATCTTGTTAATACTGTTTATTATAAACAGATCATTTACTTAAATATTTGTATCTATAAAAATAATCCCCTATCAGATCAGTGCAAAAAATGGAGTAATGTTGACATGTTCGGGCAGGAGCTGCCAATCTCTGACTCCCCAGCCTTGTGCCGAGTTCAAAAGCGTCCTCGAGCCCTCGTCGGTGACGAATTCTCCACATTTCAACCCCTCCAGAACAGGCAGGGTGTGGCAAGCCTGACGCTGCTTACCACTACCTCCACAGAAAGTGCTCAGATGAACTATATTTCCTTGTCCCACCAATGCAAACCTCCGTAGCAAGAAGACGCCATGCCACGTACA